GCAGGAATCTCTGGAGTTTGGTTGGAGGGAAATTGGTGTAAATTCAGCTGCTGTTTCAAGTGCAACAGCATTTAAATTAAGAGGAAACGTGTTTGGATAAAATGTTTCTATAGAAATGATGCAGCTGGTTGGTACTATCAATAGAAAAAAAATGAAGAATGAGTGAAACCCATTTCTTTCACTGAGCTTTCATTGTTTTCATGGAATTTTTTTGCCTAGAGTACTAACTGGTAGGTTGAGGGGAAATTAACCTATAATTAGTTTTATTATCCTTAGGATTGTTTCTGCTGCTGAATCTGTAAATTGTATGTTTTCCCTCGTCTCTGTGATTTGCACCCACAGTTTGGGGCAGAGCAGAAGAGATGTCCAGCATTAGTGCACGTGAAATCCCAGAGAGAACAAAGGAATATGTGAAGATGCTTGCACTGCTTCCTGCTCTCTGTGGGATTCATCTGCATTTCTTTTTGTTTGTTTATTTTAAAGCACTTGGAGAGCTCTCTCCTTGTCGGCTGCCTGAAGTAAGGCTTGCTCTAAAGCATTCTTTGCAAATTGTGGAGGGGAATAGAGCTGGCAAGGGAGAGGCTCTCCTGCAACAAATGCTCTCCTCAGTTCCCCTGAAAATTGTGCCTGATCTCAGGTCAATATGAATAGGTAAAATTGGTAGACACACCAAGTACAGCCAGAGCTACAGGTTAGAACTCCCAGCTCATCTGGGAGGCAGAGGCTCTGCCTCAACCTCTAGGCAAGGCTAATGCTACCTCCTGTTTCTGTCCATGGAAGGAGAGACTGCTGTGCAGCAAGTCCTGTATGTGCACCCTAGGGAGGAGAAAGGACTGGTCTGCACTGGTTGGCAACTAGGAAATGGAAATAGAGATGCTGTGGCACTGATGAAATCCTGAATGTGGAAGAACTGGAAAAGGAGTCTGAATGTTGTCCCTCTGTGGAGCTGTATATATCCTCAGAGCTTCTCTGTGAAGTGCTACAGCAGCATTTCCCAGCAGGGAGAGGAGGGCAGGAGCAGGGCAAAGGCAGCTAAAACCAGCTATAAAAGGGAATTGCTGTCCTAATGGAAATTTCAATGTGCTGCACACCCAGTGTAACCCCTCTACATAAAGGAGGAGAGGCTGCACTCTGTATTAGTACGATATGAAAAGTCTTGACACATCCTACCCTGGTAAAACTTTGAGCTTCCTGAGGTTGCCTCAGGTTGCAGGAGGGCACAGAGTAGCCCACCTGGCTGGTGCCATGGTTGAACAGCCACAGAGACAGCAAAGCCAGCTCGTCCTTTCCCCTCTGTTCCCCTGCCAAATATAGCTTGGTGAGACTAGAAGATGTGGCCAAGAATTTAAGGAACATCAAGAGAAAACAGAAGCTGGAGTACATCAGATTCTCACAGAAGTCTGCTAGTGAGGTGGGGGGCAGGTTTTCATATGATTTTACCAACAAAACTATTTACTTAAGCCTGGATTATTTAAAGAGAGAATAATTTATGGATGCTCACTGTGCTTGATTGATCCATCTCAGAATAACATCTTGCACACGCATGTGGTGCTGGTGGCGTTTACTCATCCAAAAATATATTTTCAAGATGGGATTTGTTTTAATTTTTCTACAGTTCTTTAAAAGAAAAATTGAGCTCAAGCCAGAGAAATCATAAATAACTCATGAATAAATAATTACAATTCATAAACACCTTGAGCTTGCTTCCCATGTAGTACACACCTTTCCGCCTGGGACTCTTTGGTGAATTGAGAGTATTGCTGCTATTTTAGGGGTTTGCTCCTACGTGTCCAGGAGGGACTAAATCTGTCTGTGCCTAGGTGCCTACTGAAGAGGAACAATGAAAAGTTTAAGTCCAGCGATGAGCCAGAAAGGAAGTGAATGGAATCCATGAATAAGCCTCCTGTTCTCCTAAAATAATCCCAAAGCTGATTTATTTTTTTTTTTAAATTTGAAAACTCAAAGGTGGACTGTGACACCCTGCCCACACTGGACAGTCCTGTCACGTATAGGAAACACCCCTGCAGACAGTGGGACTCTATCTTGCTCCTTTTCTGATCATAGCTCAGGCTTGAAATGCTGGTAATATTAGAACTGGGGAATTTTCTGCAGAGAAAACCTCTTCCATTTTCTTCTTCTTTTTTTGGTTAAGTCTAGTTATGGTTCTTCAAGTCTTCCCTATGTGAGCAGACGGTCTTGGTGGAAGTGCAACTGTCCTGTCTCTGAAGGAGGGTGTGACTCACAACTCAGGGAGTTGCTTTTATTGACCACGGAGGCAGCAGATGGTGCTGGTTGTACTTTCCTAATCAGAGACTCAGAATCTGCTTGTCCCTGTGTGGCCTGGTTTCCCTTGACTTCAGGATGCTTTTTGGTAGATACATGTGACACTCTTAAGACAGCAACACAATTCATGGCAGCTTTTCATGCCACTATCCTGGGAGTAATTTGTGGAGTGAAATGATGCTTTTTGGAGCCAGCTGAATTTCCCTTTGTTTGGACCTCTCCGGCAGCAGCAACTCAGCCTTGCAGTTGTTGCTGTTATTGCTTGGGTTGCTCCCAAAATACTCTAGTTGCTGCTCAGACATGTAGAAAGCCTGAAGTTCCCTGAGACCTTGCAGGTTAAAACAGAAGAGAGGGGCAAATGCAAGCAGCATTTAAGAGGCAGCATAGCTTAGCAGTCTGTCGGCTGCAGTTTGCTTTCCTTCTCTCTTGTTACAGACTTTGATTCACCATAAATTGCTCCAGGATGCAGTATGTGGGCCTGAATGTAAATTCCAGCCAGGTTCTGACATTTCTTCAGGCAACATGGAAAAAAGATATTGAGAACCACTTCTGCCCTTGTGCCTCACTGCTGGCAGTTAGGCAGGAATAGGGACAGTTCACAAGATATTGCCAGCTATCAAACAACAAGAAATAGAACATCACTCTTCCTCTGACATGTAGTTGTCTTGGCAGGCCTACAGTTCCTTCCTCAGCACCCCAAAAGTCCTGGAGACTGTCCCCTTCAAACCTGCATCACTGTGATTTTTAAGAATTGAGATGTGAACATTGGTGTTTGATCAGCATTGAAGGCCATTTCCTTTTCTGCTCCTGCTTCATGGAAGTTTCTGCAAGGAACATGACCTCATGTCCTGCCTACGAAGTTAAGATGAAGGCGCTTGGTTCAGAGCCTTGGTGCCTGGTATGTTTTAAAGGTGCAATTTTTTTCCTGTCTTTTTCCAGGTCCTTTTTTGGAGTTTCCAGCGTTTCTGAGTGATTCTCTGGAAGTCCTTTATCTGAACGACAATCAGCTGGACTCTGTCCCGCCATCCGTTTGCCTTCTGAAAGGTTTAACAGAACTTTATTTAGGAAAGTAAGTCCGTGTCCTGGAAAAGCCATGCAAGTATTATTTCCATGTTGTTTTAGTGACCAGTCTGCCATGGAGCCCCACCCCAAGTGTCCAATAGTTTTGAAGTCAAAAAGCTGGAAACGGTCAGCCCCTTGTTAGAGCTGTGCCCATCATTTGCTTTAGATAAGGAGGAGGCTGCCTTTTGAAATAGAGAAGATGATCTAATGCTTTGAACTCAGGCCTGGGAATCTAACATGCCTCTAGTTCATTCTGGCTTTTTACTGTCAGCTTCTATAGAGTTAGAGTCAGTAACTCATCATTTTTGCCTTCGTTTCCTCAACTATCCAGTAAAGATGATTACACTTGTCTGCCTCAGAGGATAAATTGAGGTTATACATCACTCTTAGGATGGAAATTACTATTAAAGTGCTGAGTAGTCTTATTAAAATGTTAATGGAAGATTTCTGCAAGGAGAGAATAGTGTAATCCGAGAGTCCGTGAGAGCAGCTACTTGCACACAAAGCCTGGTTGTTGGTAGATTTATTTGTTTTTGTACAGTAACCCTGGTATCCGAGAGCTTCCTCCAGAACTTGGACAGCTGGCTAATCTCTGGCAGCTGGATATCGAGGAACTAAACATCACTAATGTTCCTGCAGAGATCAGAAAAGAGGGTAAGGCTCATCCTATGTGTTCTTTATTAAATTGACTGAGTAGAACCTAAATCACTTCCTTTTAGTGGTCCTGAACGGGAGCAGGCTGCGTGCACCCCCAAGCCCTTGTTGTGGCTGTGGGATTGCACAGGGAAACCTCCTCTGCATGTCTGCAAATTTGATAATCGGTGCTAAGCTCTGGCTAGATGATCACTTCAAGAGAGATCCCACGTTAAAATGGTGCCTTATAAGTGCAATATTTCATTTGCAGCATGTATGCTGGATAAATTCCATGGCTTGCTTCCTGACTGTGTATATTTTAGAGTATTTAGATGGTCTTTCTAAAGACTGAAGTGTTTAGGATCGGCGGTCACAGCCACGTTGGAGTGACTTTATTGTAAGCTGCTAGGTTTTTGGATCTATTACAATACTGTCTTCTTTTTTGTGTGTTTTAATAAGAAAATCCTGTGGGAACAAAGTTATTGGGAATTATTCCTTCTCCAGCACACTGTTGAAGCCTAAATCTAATTTTAACTGGAAACATAAAAGTAGAAGGAAAAACTGAGTATTTTCCAATACTAAATTAGTATTTTATGTTTCCTTTGAGCTTCTGAAGTATACGAGCCACAGCATTTGTTTCTTCTTACAGTGCTCCATTGTAGACTCTGGAAGCATTGACCTTTTTCTGGGGTCTCTGTCTCAGGTTTGTCCACTAGAGGTTTCTTTGTTTATTCTCTGGGTTGTCTCAGCCCACAGCGAAACTGCAGGGAAAATATTAATTCAGCTGATGTGTCTGGAGCAGCAGGTTTTGTGCAGCCCTGCTGTCCGTGTGTGCGTTTGCAACTGCTAACCACAGATAAAGCCTGTTCACTTGCCCCCCCAAAACAGGCCCTAAAACAGTGCTGGCATATTTACGAGCGCAGCTGCGCAAAGCAGAGAAGTGTAAGCTGATGAAGATGATCATCATCGGTCCCCCACGCCAGGGCAAGTCCACCCTGGTGGAGATCCTGCAGACAGGAAAGGTCCCTCAGATGATGCACAGCGATGCCACCATACGTACTACGAAATGGGAGCTCCCCAAGCCCGTGGGACACAAGGCAAAGGTGAAAACCAAGTGAAAATCTTTAGCCCCAGTGTGATGTTTGAGCTCTGCAGCATCCCTGTTGGGCTGGATTTGCCTGCTCTTTTACAAAAAATCCAGTTTCCATTACCTGTGAGCCAGACCTCACAAGTCTGTTGTGTTTGCAGACCCGTCACAATTCCTCTGTTTCACTTCCAGTTGGTTCTAGAGGACAGTTCTCTTTTCCCGAGCACTTCAACTTTGCCTTCTAAGGAGGGAGAGCTGTGTGTAGGCTGCCTAAATTCTGCTTTCCCAGCTCGGGTGGTTTTTGGACACTGATTCTGAGAGAATTCTGTTTTAAATCAGCTTCTCTAAAGCAGATTGTCCTTTCATTTAGGGCCAGAAAACGGGACGTCAGTACCTAAAGCTGGACTCCCTTGGTATCAGAGCTGTCCTAGGTGAGGAAGGTGGGTGGAAGGTAGGATGCCTGACCTCTGGTGTGATCCAGGGATATCTAAGGCATACCTTAAACACCCAAATCTCAGATGGCTCATTCAAGGAGCGTGTCAACCCATGCTAAACTCATTTGGACAGCACTGAATTCATTCAAGCATTTGTAGGTGGCCCTGTCCACTGCCCGTGTAGTAACACAGGGATTAGAGCACGCAGAATTGGTCCTGAGCTCTTGTCAGAGCTGAGGGTGTGCAAATACACAGCTCTCCCTTCCCAGATGAGAGCCGTGACCACCAGAGGGTTTTGGAAGGGGTGGAGGAGCCTGCTGAGTTCAGCTATTCTACAGCAAATGAGTGCCAGACCAGAGACAGAAAGAAAAAGAGCCTGATGCTTTCAAGACTTTGTTGGGAGAAGGGATTTCTGCGTTTTGTGTTGAAGAGCAATTGAATAAAATAAACCTAGAGAGCATCAGAGACCTGGAGTGGGATCAAGATGCTGAAAGGGCTTTTGTCCCTACCTCTCTGTCTCTCCCTACAAGCACCCGCAGCTGAAGGTCTTTTGGATGAACAAAGCAGTCCTGGTGCTAGTTAGGGCTTGGCCTAAACAATATGGAAGTTCTTCCAGCTGTTCCTGGGAGATTTCAAACTGGGGCTGTGCTAGGAGAGCAGAGCCCTGCTGAGGTACTTGGCTCCTTGCTGAAATCTCATAGGGTAACCTGTCATGTGGGATCAGTCAGTACTTGGACCTGGGCAAGCAAACGGAGCCCACAGGATGCCCTGAGTGGTGGCTGGAGCAGGGTTTGGTTTTCCACTCAGTCATGGGCTTCTTGCCTCCCGAGGGCCAAGTGATTTAGTGACAGAGCCTCCACTGTGTGTTGGTGCTTCCTGCTGCAGCAGGGAGCCTGAATACCTTTTCAGTGGAGAGCTGTGCTCCCCCTTAGTGCCCTTATGGGGCTGCACAGAGCAATGGATGCTGAGAAACCTGGAAGAGGGCCAGAGCTAGAGAGGCCCCCCCTTTACATGTTGCCCCCAAGATCAGTGAGCCTAATTTACAGTAGCTGTAATTCTGGCCCATCTCTGGTGCAGCACACGTCAGAAGCCTCCCAGCAGCGTGCAGGAGGTTTTTTTATGAAAGGCTTGAGAAGTTTCCCATCTCCTGAGCATCTATATTCTCTTTGGCTCAGTTAGGGCTGAGCTCAGTGGAAGTGATTTCAGCAGGGGGTTTCCTGTTCCCCAGAGCAGTGGCAGATAAGTAGCTTCGACAGTCCTGTCGATCGTGGCACAGACAAGGATGAAACAGTTTCTCTTCCAGATGCAGTGAAATACAGGGCTCAGAATGAGACCTTTGTTTGCACTGGAGAATCCACAGCATTAACTGGAGATTTACCAGCATCAAGGGCACCTCTATCGTTTTAGCAGCAAGTAATTAGTCTTGATTTCCTGTGGGGAAGTGGTAGCCATGCTTAACAATTGCTTGTTGATTTGTCTTTCCTGGAGGCACAATTAGGACATTGAAACCCTTCTTGTGTCATACATTATGCAGGCGTAGGTTTATACTTCAGCTATTATCTCCCTGTGATTTACTGCAACCGTTTGATTTGAACACTTCTCTTTGTCTAAGTAGGTTGATTCAGTGGAGTTCAATGTCTGGGATATCGGAGGCCCAGCAAGCATGTCTACAGTCAATCAGTGTTTCTTCACAGACAAAGCATTGTACATAGTGGTATGGAACTTGGCACTGGGGGAAGAAGCTGTGGCAAACTTACAGTTCTGGTTGCTGAACATCGAGGTGAGAAGTCACTGGTGGACTCTGGGGTATCTATTTATCAAATAGCTCAGCACACAGATATGTGCTGTTACAGATTCTTTTGGGTCTGCTTTTAAAAACTGAGCTATGAGTTTTGCCTAGCTTTTGGAATTAATTTTCCATTATGCTGTAGGCGTATCATTATATTTAACAGTTTAAATTTATCGTTTGCTTTGTTCTCCCTCGCACGCATCGGGGGACGAAACAAAAGCTGATTTATAAACCCTTGCTAAGTAAGGCTGAACATACTTATTTTGGAATTAGTGTTTGACCACACTGTGCTCCAAGGGGGGTTTGAAGCGTTTTCTTTCTTGTGTGGGTTAGACATACATTAGTCTTGAGGTTATATTTTTAACACTTTAGATTCAGCTCAGCTAGAGAGTATCTCCCTGACAGCTCTCAGCTGAGGCTGCAGAGCTGCACTAAATTCATGGGTGTTGGTTGATTTTTATAATACCAAGTTCATGAATTTTTGTAAATGTTTATTATTTGTTATGTCTTAAAATTACATACACAACTGAGCTAGTGCTTCTCAAAAAAGAAACATCTTGACATTACAAAAAATATTAGTTTAATGGCCAGCAGCAATCAAAAACCCAAACCAGGTACCAAAGCCAAAAACATAAAAATATTTCAGAAAGGTATGATGTGCCTGTGTCCTTAATGCATCCAAGCCAGCACATAGTAGCATCAGGAAAGCTAGAGAGGAAGGTGAAAATGATGATTAAAAATATGGGAAAATTTCTGAGTGCTCAGCAATTAAATTAATTTCTTTAGGCATTTTCAGCTTGGGAAAGGCAGAAGCGGGGAGGACTGCATGTAGACTTACCAGGGTAAGGAGAAAACCACAAGGGAGTCTTTGTTCATGATCTTTTACAATAGAAGAATTAGGAGAGATGAAAAATGAAATTCTGCTTTGAAAAAAGCAATAGGAAGTGTCCAAAACACAACAGATGGCTAACCTGTGGAGTCTGTGGAAGTACAGTGTGCCATGGCTGTCAGAAGCTGAGAAAACAGACTGGTGGAAGAAAAATCCATCAAGTGCTATTAATTCAGAGATACTGTCTCAAGTTCAGGAGGCTGGTGAGCTGCAGGCTGCTGGATTCTGGGAGAACACACCAGGGAAAAGCTCTACATGCTTACCCTATGCCTGTACTCTTCATTAGCTGCCAGGGCCAGGTGGGCCCCTTGGTCTGACCTGGGACAGCCACCACTCCTGTGTCTGCACAGGGCTTGAGTTTGGTGTCATTCAGGCTTGGAGCATCATAAGAGAAAAATGGACTGACTGCAGATAAGCATCTGTTTCTGTGTCTGACTGTTCCTCTGTGGTCAGAGTCCTTTGGATCAGCAGGCTGATCCCTGCTCAGGCCAGTGCAAGCCCATTCTATTTGGCAGCATGTTCCCTGAAACCTGGATACGTTCCAGTGCTGTAATAGATCATGGAAAGGTTGGAAGAAACCACAAGATCATCTAATCCATTCCTTTGTACTGATTCAGGATTGAGTAGATTCAGACTTTTCTAGCAGTTTATCTCACCTCTCCATACACCTCCAGTGAAAAAGTTTGTCTAACTTCCCCAGGTTCCCATTTGTTCCAGAGTGTAACTAATTTCTTTCAGGATATCAGAGTTAGATCTGCTGGCTGCAGGTGAAGCTGACTTCTTTTCCTTTCCCTGGGCAGACGTAGCTCCCATCATTTAGCTGACTCGTAGCAACTTAATACCACGTGGCAACTCCCTTTACGTTAAGTCCTGATGTAATAAACCCAAACTGACAGTTTCCTGCTCTGCAGTAGCAGCAGATGAATAAGCCAAGTTCTGCAGGAGAACTTCTGTAATACCCAGATACCCAGATCACTCGTTGCTGTTGTCAAGCTGCCCCAGCAGGTTGCCTCCGTGATAGACAGACAGACACGTAGGTAGACAGATATTCCATTTTATTAATGCACATGACTACCCCCTCTTAGATATTATACTTTTCACTGAATTTACCACAACATCATCTGGATGAGATCATTGTCAGTGTTTCCTCTTACAGGCCAAAGCTCCAAATTCAGTGGTGTTGGTGGTGGGAACACACCTTGATTTAATAGAAACGAAATTCCGCGTTGAGAGGATAGCAACTCTGAGGGCATATGTCTTGGCTCTCTGTCGGTCTCCCTCTGGATCCAGAGCAACTGGCTTCCCAGATATCACATTCAAGCACCTGCAGTAAGTACCTGTGCCTTTATGAAGCTCAGTCACTCTGTTTTGTGTCACTTTGAACAATTTTGTAATACTTGATCTCCTTGGCAACAGAAGGGATTTAAGGACTCATCAGCATTGCATTGCATCCATTATTGACTGAGAAAATATCAGAGAAGTTCAGTGTTGCTCAGGGGCTTGAGAGCTGGAAGGTCCAAAGTCATTGACCTTGGGCAGCCTGTTGTAGAGCTCTTGCTCCACTCGGATTTCTTTTCTCACCATTAAATGGTGCTACGGTTCATTAGTCACGAGCAGAGAAGGTGCAGATTGAGTAATTAATGCTGCAGAGCTTGGGAACGTGACTCTTACAAGGTTTCTTCAGGGGAGGCTGTGTGGGAACTTCTTGCTGCCTGACATGAGAACTTGGCTCACGTGGCAGTGTTGGCGGGGTAAGGAGTGGGTCAGCCCCATGAGCCCCTGGCAGTCCAGACCTGTGCCACCTGAGGTCTCCGGGTGTGCTCACGGAGGGGTGGTGCTCTCCTGAGGGTTGGTGTTGGCCAGGGCACCCAGTCTGATGCAGAACCCTCCCTTTGGTGGATGGCGAATGCCCCTGGGGAGAGGAAGCCTCAAAGGCTGGGGAGAAGCAGGGCCATGCAGCAGCCAGCACCACAGGGTCTGAAATGGCCAGTGCCTGGGGCCAGAGCAGGTGGGGGCTGGCAGGTGAAGAGGGACACCACAGTGTCCCCTGTGTTTTGCATCTGCTGCCTGGCAAAGGCTGGAGACATCCTGCAGTCTGTCCTGCTGACAGGGGCACTGTGTTGGGTCTCCCAGCTGGCTCTCTCCCCTAAGGAAGAGTACCAGGACCCGCTGCGAGGCCTCCTCAAACCTCTTTTCCATCACCACAGAGCATCCTAACATGATCTCAGTCATCCTTTCTCAAGGGGACTTTCTTTCACTCTGACACACATCCTGCACGTTCCCTTCACCTTCCTTTTCCTCTGTATTTCCCCCCAGCTGGAGCTGTGCCTGATTTTGTATCTCCTTCCCCCATGTCTCTCCTTCACACGCCATCACCCACCCTGGTGGGACTCTTGTGAGCAGCTGTAGGAGTGTGAGTTGAGAGCCTGGTGGGGGTGAGCCCAGAGTGCTTTTACCAGTGCTGGTCCTCCAGCATCACAGAGAGTGCACGTTTCCCAGTGCCACTGATGGCTGGAGTTTGAGTGCCTGTTGCAACAAGACAAGTGGTGATGGTTTTAAACTACAAGAGGGGAGATTCAGACTAGATAGAAGGAAGAAACTTCTTACTATCAGGGGGGTGAAACACTGGTCCAGGTTGCCCAGAGAGGTGGCTGATGCCCTATCCCTGCAAACGTTCCAGGTGAGGTTGTCCAGGGCTCTGAGCAACCTGCTTTAGCTGCAGATGTCCCTGCTCAGTGCACAAGGGATGGACTAGATGCCCTTCAAAGCTCCCTTCCAGCCCAAACCATTCTATGATTCAATGATAAAACCTAGTGCTTTAGAAAAGAATTTTCTTTCTGCCACAGGAACATGTGTAGGATCAGTTAGAAAGACCCTTTGTTGGGGAGAGTGGAAGAGAACTGTTCTTACTCAGCCCACAAAAAGGCCAAAAATAGTAGGAGCTGGAGGGAGCAGGTTTGTAGCTGTTAAGGAGATGATGAAGGCCAGCTTTTCAGATCTAAGCATCAATTCCCAGATCACAGGATCCAGCTGAGCAAAGGCCAGGGCGAGGGTGGGGAAAGGTGTCTGGTAGTCATCATCATGCCTCTTTGATCTGAGGTGGGGAGAGCTGGACTCGTCTCCAGCGACTGCCGGAGCATTTTCCTCCTTCCTGCAGTCCCTTCCAGGATGTGGACATCCCCTGAAGGGAAAAAGGCTGACGGCTTTGGTTGGAGTGCCAGGGCAGTCCCCAGAGGTCACAGTGCAGAGGGGACAGAAGAGCAGCACACAGTGATTGAAGCAGGCAGAGCAGAGCTTGGCCTTGATCTATCTTTTCCAGGCTTCTTCGTGTTTTTCTCCAAAGCTAAAACTGCTCGCTGACAGCCTTCCTCCCATTCAGCTGACACAGGAAATTTAAAGTCACTGATAAGAGAAAGTGAGCCTGGAAAGGAAGCCAGTGTGCTGATAAGGTTTGATAATCTTCACCCTTGCATGGCTTTTGCAGTGAGCTCTCCTGTAAGACTCTGGAAGGCCTCGATGGACTCCGCCAGCTGATTTTTCATGTCACTTGCAACATGAAGGACGTCGGCAGCTCAATTTGCTCACAGAAACTTGCAGGGAGATTGGTGAGAACTGTGCTTGTAGTGATGATCCTTACCAGAGCGGGGGCTTTTCTGGGGCTTCCCTTTGGACTGGGAGGTGAACTTCAGGAGTTAGTGTTGATGCAGGAGACGTGTGAAGTATGTAAATGGCTATTTGGCTTTGGGCAGAGACTAAGATTCCTGTGAAGGGGAGATGACTAAGCCAGTTCACCTCCAGCAGAGTGATTGCTGTCTGATCCTGCTGGTTTTCTCCTGTGCCTTGCAGATACCAAGAAGTTACCTTAGTCTTCAAGAAGCTGTCCTTGCAGAGCAGCATAGAAGAAGTCAGAATGATGATGTACAGTATTTAACAGACAGACAAATAGAACTGATGATTGAGCAAACGCCTGGAAATGATATCAAAGACTATGAAGACTTGCAAACTGGTAGGTCAGAGCAGACTAGTAATTACTTGGAAATCAGTGTGCGTGACCAATTGTAATATTCCATGAATAATAAAAATCGTGGGGGGAAGAAGAAAGCCCACTAGATAACTGCTGTGCAAAAATCCAGTTCCAGAGTGTTCTGCACCTGCGTAGGGGTCACTTGGGAAATTGCTAAGACCTAAAATTAGTTATGGGGCTTTGGGAAGAGGGATGGGAAGTTTCTAGGATGATCTGAATCGACTTTTTTCTTTTTTTGGTTTAACAAGCTTTGTCTGATTTTATTTCTGCTCTGTGAAGATTGAGGGTTGCCATAGTTTCAAGGCTGTCTTCTCTGTAGGGCCCCAGTGCTGTGATCTTTATGGAGGCCTTGCTCTGCAGGAGCCAAGGAGAACCCTTCCCTGCAAGGATGGCAGGAGGAGGGCAAAGTGGAGGTGTGGTGGGGACAGAAATACTGACTGTAAAGCAGTGAGATGTGGGTTGTACGAGTGCCAGATAGCAGCACTCCCCTGATAAACGTTGCTCTCTGGGCTTGGCTGTGTGCTGGCTATATCTGGTATGCATAAACTGCACAGACTGCCTCATAATCTTAGTCATCTGCACTGTGGTTTCCTCGTGCTGGTCTATTGCTAATCTACAATTCTTTGGGTTTTGCAGCGATTAATTTTCTCATAGAAACGGGTACACTACTGCACTTCCCAGACACAAGCCATGGCCTGAGAAACCTCTACTTCCTTGACCCTGTCTGGCTCTCAGAATGTCTACAGAGGATTTTCAACATCAAGAGCTCCAAGTCTGTAGCTAAGAATGGAGTCATCAGAGCAGAGGATCTCAGGATGCTGCTGGTTGGGACAGGCTTCACTGAGCAAACTGAAGAGCAGTACTTCCAGTTCTTAGCCAAGTTTGAAATTGCACTGCCTGTGGCCAATAACAGGTATGTTGATGGTTACGGAGGCTTAGCCAGGCTGGAGAAAAATGGCCATTTAATCAGTGGATATCACCAGGCTTTGGCACCAGGAGCAGTTGTCCTGACAAGGATCTTGCTGCGAGAAAATATTCGGGTGCGTTCACCAGCGTCATCCGGGCTGCGCTTCCTGGCAAGAGCATCCTCTGCTCCAAACAAGCCAGTTTGAAAACTTGCCAGAGCAGATCTTTGTCCACTCAGCAGATTGGGGCTGGTGATGGGCTCAGCCACCAGCACGGGGGGACAGGGACACCTCCAGGGACGTGGTGCTGAGCAGGTGGAAGCTGCTGAGCAGGAGGAAGCAGCGGGCGCTCGCCCGGCGCAGCTGCGGCTCGGGGAGGCTCTGGGGCTCCTGGCTGCCCTGCCTGAAATGGAGATGGGAGCAGTCATCTGTGCCCAGAGAAAAAGCCTCACTCCAGACTGTGGCAAAAAACTTTGGGGAATCAATCATTATGTCAGCCCTGAAAGCAGTAGTATTTGATTTCTAGTGAAATCGGGGAAGTGCGGCTTCAGCAGCGGCGTGATTTTCTTGGGTTTTAGCCTCAATAGGTGTTGATCAATAGTTTTCCTAGAAAAGGTCCAGGAAACCTCATTCTCTTTAAATGTTAATGAGTCCTCCTCCCCTCTGCCCCCCATCCCTTTTCCACCGGGCAGCGTTCCCTGCTATTTTTCTCTCTCCCATCTGCTTGGCGACAGCCTGTTGTTGCCTCACGGGTGAAACCCTCGTTGTGTTGCACTTCTGATGTGGCATTTGCATTTCACTTCCTTGCCCTTCCAGGACAGCAGGGCTGCATTGCCCTGAGCCTCTCGGGAGCTCTGAATGCCAGCACAAGTGCAGCATTCTCTCTGCTGTCATTATGCCTGTCACTTATCCAGTCCCGGATGCCAACAAATTTTCTCAGGCTTAACACAGATAAAGCAGCAATGTTTCTGCTTAGTCCAAAATGCCTTTTGGACTCCTTGTCACTATCTGCCATTTTTCTCCAAGGCAATTACATTGTCTGTGCCTCGGGAACAAGGAAACTGCTTTTTCATAGCCTGGCCAATCTTTTTTAGAGCGATCCAAGCCACATTAGCAGAATATTCTTCCCACTGATGGACTGTAGCTATAGCAGGTTGGATTAATTTAATGTACTAGCCAGACACAGAGCAGTTATTTGTTACTGCGCTTATGCAATTATTGTCTAGATTGCCAGATAGAGTTTCTGTGCAGTCAGTAGAGAAAGCAGCTGCCAGTTTCTGTTCTGAAAGGGTGGATGGGGGCATGTTTCACATATTTTCACAATTTGCATTGGCTGTTGTTCAAGAGCATCGAATCACCATCTGTATTATAATCCACTATATAGTTGTGGTCCAGAAGGGCCCCGCTGGCCCTCCTATACTCCTAGACCCTTTCTTGGGTGTGCTGAGGAAAATTTATTGTCTGTCATGAGATGCTTCCACTATCCTTTTAGAGCAAGAACTTTTAGTTCGATGTACTCCACTTCTCTGCTTAAGATGTATGTAATTTTAGCTTTGTTCTGCTTGTTAAAATAGGGTTTAAAGTATGACCGTTCTCCTTGTAATTTATAAGCAAAGAGAAATTTTTACCAATTTTACATGCCAAAGATGTTTCATGGAACACATAATTTGATCATGTAAAATGTCATCAGATGTTACAGACTGTGACATATGGAGAGAGCTATTGTCTAGTGATGGCTGGTTTTTCAGAGCTGACAGCTCAGGTTTTACAGAACACTGCAGCTGCTAGAAGGAAAACGTGATAGGCTTAAAGCACTGGATTTGGACCCAGCATTAGTTTTACTTCTGTGCCTAGTCCCTGCCACTGTTATTTTGGTCAAGGCCCTTGGCCATTTGCCTCATTGCTGTCGTTATGCCCATCAGTGATGAGCCCCAGATGCTGACACGTTTTCTCAGGCTCCACACTGATAAAACAGCAGTTTTGCTGCTTATAAGCAAATAAGATTTTTGATGCTATGGGCAACTTGGAATGCATTTGGTCCAGCAGAGTATCACTGTCAAGAGATTTATTGGCAAGTATTGAAAGTCATAAACTCATAGTTTTCAAAACAGTTCTAGCCTTCCAGAAGGCTTTAGCTTCCCAAATACTGAAGATTAGGACAAATGAATATTCTTTGCTTACTGGGAGATCACAACGTTTTCGAAGAATTTTCGGGTCCTCTAAACCAGAGTAGCTCTGTTAGTTCTGACAGGTCAGACTCAGCTAGCACTGAGTCCTCCACACCTGGCAAAGAACCTGACAACCCGATTGCAGGAGGAGGCTGAGCAAGACAAGTGCTGTCTGTTGGCATCAGCCTGGCAGACTCCCTAAGGAGTTCATCATGAATGTGGTAGGGAGCCCACAGGCTGCACTGTGGTGCAGCAGGAAACCCTGTCATGCTGACCCATAAGATGCTGCCATTCTGGGACTGGGGTGAGAGCCAAAGCAGTCCAGTCCCTGTGCCTCGTTGCCACCTCCCACAACACCTCCTCTCCCCACCTTCTGGGCTTACAGAAACTGAGCTACTGTAGGTTGGTTTTGCATTTATCTTCTGCTCCACATAGGAGCACAGCTGTAGTTCTCTGCTTACTACTATGGCAGGGTTGTAAAGATACCAAAAAACAAGTCCCAGCATCGCAGCTGTTCTAATGACTCTTACATTTTAATACATTTAATTTGTGATTACACAAATGTCCTGCTCATTACATCAGTTTTCGCCCTGTCCAATAGCCCTGGCTGAATTATGTAATGTCTGTTTTGCCTCTGTTTGCTTCCATAGTGTAAATGAATTTCTCCATGTATTGCTGCAGTGCCTTTAGTCTAAAAGCTTTTTTTATATGCAGTAGGCTGTGCCATTAAAAATCTCTTTGGAGACTGAATTGCCTTATTATCCAGTAACAATGAACTCACTGTTACAAGCTGTGGCTAAAAGCTGAGCTGTTGAATTTGATGTGTTTCAGCTACCTCCTCCCTCATCTGCTTCCTACCAAGCCAGCTTTAGATATCCATGGACTCTGCCACCAGACCTCAAACATGGTCCAAAGGGTCTTCAAGATGAGCTTTGTCCCAGTTGGCTTTTGGCAGAGATTCATAGCCCGAATGTTAATTAGCCTGGCAGAGATGGACCTCCAGGTAGGTTACTGTATCTCTGGAAGCAAAAGAAGACAGCTAAAGTTGTTGTTCAGTTTAAGTGTGAGCGAGTGTCTCTTCACATCCTTTGCTTCAATCACAGACTCCAATAA